GGGGGGGGGGGGGGGGGGGGGGGGGGGGGGGGGGGGGGGGGGGGGGGGGAGTACAACGGGTGTTGTCCACTTGCAAGCATGAAATGTTATGGGCGGGCATTGGTTTTCCGTTGCTCGGTTTGTTTCTTGTTTTCCCGCTACTTTTGGGCGTTTTCTCTCGTGCGGTCGTGGATCTGATCAGTAGTGCTATTGCTGCTCAATGGCTGTCGTCGTTCTTCTCCAGCTTCCGTAGCGTCGATACGTGTACGTACGTGTCAGGGTGCGTTCTCATAGGTGTATGTATGTATTGTCTCTATCTACGGTTTACCTCGGCTTGATTCTGTTACTCTTAATGGGTCTGCCTTGATCCGTCGTGTCGTACGCGCGGGGGTCTCCCTTCCTTCCATCCATACTGTAGCGCCGAGTTGAACTCGTTCACCGCCCAGCGTAGTGCCACATGTCCACCCTTGTGTGACATCGCAAGTCGACGGTGAACGCGCTTGTCAGGCGTTGTATCATAGATGCAAACAAGCAATCCCGCTGCTTGTGGCCCGTACAGATGGGTGAGTGTGATAGTGCGGTCGATGGTGTAGACCACGTGAACGTAACTAGGCGTTCAGCGTATCCCGGTCACTTCGCATGCCCCACTATCGTCCCCATGTTGCCGTGCCTCACGCCGGCCTCTAGCTTCTATCAGCGGCCACCCAGGCTTACCTTAAGCGCGTCCTGACCGAACTATCGGTGGTGGCCTACCAGCGGCGGGGAGGGTTGTCAGAAGAATTGCTTCAAGGTTGGTTGTTGGATCTCGAGCGTGGCAAAACTACGTGGTAAATCGGTTCGTCGTGCGAGGATTGTTGTTTTCCTGGACTGGCTGTTCGTTGTACAGCCAAAGCGGCGGGATTTTGGTTGTCCTTTGTCGCCTGTCTCTGCTGTTGTTGTCGTTGTTTTTCTTGTACTACTGTACTAGTGGTGGGGATAGTTGCTGTTGCTGCTGTGTCGCCACCAGATACCCGTTGTACGGCGCTGACACAACGGGATCGACGGCTGCGATGGCTCTTCTTGCGCGATTGATGTCCACGCTCCTGTTATGCATATCCAGCGTCCACGGCGACCAAACTCAAGCTCGGACTTGTGTACGCGTGTAACCGGTCCCAACATTACTCAAGAGACATGTATCTGCCTGGCGATGGAACCAGATGTACGTTTCACATCTCCCGTCCCCCGACTTGCCTTGCCCGCACTAAGACTGCCCGACAACACACCCTGCAAACGTGTCCAACGAAGGTCTCGAGGAGCGAATGGAAGACCCGCGGTCACCGGGCTCCGCGCTCATCCTGTACGAGGGATTGGTGCCTCGTTTCCGGCGCTACCAGCCCGGAGGAAGTTCAACGACGATCACTACGGGGGCACCGGCTGCAGCAGTGGCTACGACAACCGAGGACCCTCGTGAGGTACTGCGGCGTCAAGAGGAGGCCCACAGACGGTCATGCCTGAAGAGGGAGGCCGGCTGGGAGGCGAGGGTCGCGGAGGTGATGGCGGCCGCACATGGGGTGAGTTTTGTGGTCTGTGTTGTCGTCGGCAGCCGTGAGGGCTGTTGATTTCCGGCGGCGGCGGCGGCGGTGGCCTGTTTCTCATAGCCTCACTCGATCTGTGTTGGTTGTCTTGCGGCCACAACGTTATCTGTTTTCCAAGACCTGGCTGCTTACGGTCGAAAAATCCCTGATTGTTGCTGACGCTGCTTGTGTGTGGCATTGTTCTCGCCGGCTGTTCCACCCGTTGGACGCGGACAACCGACCACGTTTTGACAGATAACGTGCTGCCGTTTGTATTATTATCCCACCACAAGACTGATGCCTTCTCATTCAGCCGGTTAGTACAGTCGACGCCAATTCTCAAGAAGCACACCGAACGACGACGACGACATATACAGGGGAGGAAATCGCGGAACAAGCGCAGGTCGCTTACGAACGCGCCCTCGAGGAGGGTAGGCGTGGAGTCTCTGTCGGCGTGGTCCGAGTCCGGCTGGCTGTCGAGGGAACAGGTGGCGGCGAACGAGTTCGCGAGGCGGGTGGGCGTCAAGAGGGGGGTGGGGCTTTCGATGCCGGCCTCCGCGGAGTGGAGGCGAAAGAAGCGGATGGCAGAGGCGGCCGAAGCGAGGGGTCGTGGAGGCGGTGGCGGCGGTGGCAGCGGTGGTCGCTACACGATGGAAGGGAGCGGGCAGCAGCAGCAGCAGCAGCAGGAGGAGGAGGAGGAGGAGGAGGAGGAGGAGGAGGAGGACCAGATGGAGCTCGAGGAATGTGATGAAAGCCGGCTTTCTGTAGACGGCGGAGGACTAGATGCCCGTTCGTCAGTGGTGGGAGTAGGGCGCGAAGGGGCGGGCGAGAAGCGTAAAAGACACAGGACGGGCAACGACATGGCCCACCAAAGCGACGACGACGGCAGCCGCAAGAGCCGGTCGGGCGCCGGCGAGGACGAACAGGCCCGGACCTTAGTGCGCGACGTACGGCGGCGGTTTCACAGGTTCGGCGGCACCATCCCGGCGGCGCCCGGCGGCCGCATCGAGATCAACAACGCCGACCTCACCGAACACCTCCGGGCGGTTATGCCGACCTGCAGCAGGGAGAGCTGGGAACTACTCTCCGGACTGAAGACGCGCCTGGCCTCCCAGAGGCGGCGTGCAGCAGACTCAGGATGGTAACTTCCGTGAAATCTATTGTTTGTGGGTGGAATGGTTGCGTGGACGGTGATTGGGAGGGGTGGGTGTGGTTTCGCCTATGCTGGAACACTGCACGATCAAGCACCGCACATCCAACATTTTTTTTTGGGGGGGGTGAGAGGAGAGTGAAATGCTTTCGACATGGTGGACAGGACAAATACATGGCAATTAGACAGAGAGAGATTAACGAGAGAAAGAGAAAAGGGAGGGAGGGAGGGAGGGAGGGAGGAAGAGAGAGAGACACACACACAGGCAGAAAGAAAGAGGGAGAGAGCCAAAGGAAGGGACTGAGTTGTGATTATTCCCGAGCAGAGGCCGGTTGGCGTTCTTCTCTGCGTATTCATTCAAGAGAGCTCGGGTGGTATTTTCGCAATCGGAGACTGAGCCCGGGAGACCCAGGGGGGGTACGCGGATTGGTTTATTCCTCCCTTGATGTTTTTGTTGGCACGCGGTGCAGGGAAGGGGGGGGGCGGGGGGGACTCTTATGTTTTGCATGCCTTAGCGGTTACACCATTGACCACGCGTCCTCGAGAGGACGGAGCATTGTTCCCCCAGGACCGATCACCGATGGTCAATCGTTCCTTTCTACTTTGCCAAAGGTGGCTCAAAAATGTCTTCCCTAGTCTGTCTATCCCAACGATATCCCTACCTGCCTTTTCAACCCACCTCCTATGCCCCACTACAGCTACCGTCCTNCCCTCCATCCATTGGTCCATGTAGGTAAAATCCTTGGACCCTAGTCCTTTCTTCAACATCCCGTACACTTCTAGACCCTCCTTATCCTTGGATTCTTTCCTCAGATTCTGTTCTTCTCTATCGGCACAAGCAACAGATATCTTCTCCTTGAACCCCTGTAGACCCTCCGTTTCCAGCGTTGCATCTTCGAGAGCCCCTTTCATACATCCTCTACANATCTTCTCCTTGACCCCCTTTAGACCCTCCGTTTCCAGCGTTTATCTTCGTCGATGTCGAGCCCCTTCCATACGTCTACAAACTTGACCCATTCCGTGGGTTGCTTACCCCTCTATTTGTTTGCCCACTTCGCCTCCCGTACCATTCTCGGCGACCTCTCCTCTCCCATCCCGCACATGCGATACTGCCATGTCAGCTTCCTCGCGTCTCTTCCCGACCGTAGGGATTGGATCCCCAATTCTGCCCTCACGGCTGCATTACTTGTGCGCTTGGAGGATCCTAGGACGATTTTCGCTGCTTTCATCTGTGCCGTCTCGAGTTCTTTCACTACCTTCTTATTTCCTGCCCATACTTCTCCGGCGTACTCTAGCGGCGGTACGATTACGCTCTTCAAAACCTTCAATTTGATGCGTGTTGTTGGTTGAACCGGGTGGGCCGAAGCTTGTAGGTTTGTGGAGAAATGCAGCTCGGCCATCGAGGGCCGAGATGAGAAAGTCTTGTATTTAGAAGGGAGAGGGGACAGCAGAGAACACTCGTGTCCGAGGAACCAAAGGGAAAGTCACAACACCCATCCGTCACGCCATTCACATCACTCATCGAATCTCCGAAAAAACCACGCAAAAACTCCCTGTTCCTCCGCAATCTACCCATTGCAATCTCCATACACCTATGTCCCTTTTTCAACCATCTTTACTATGCTACGAGTATATCTAACAGCCCCCTGCTCGAATGCATCGTAATGATACGGCAATTCAATACAATTCCATTACGACCCAAAACGTGGATCCTACTCCTCCATGACAAACAAATAACCAAGAACTCGATTATGTAGATGTTCCTGAACCAACGACGCCTTGTCTCATCGCCTTCATTCCTTCTCTGCAAAACGCCCTTCTTTTGGTCCATCCTTTCTCAGCACTTCGCCGCAACGACACCCTTAAAGTACTTATGTCCCCCGCACAACTCAAAGCATTAAACAATCCATTGAACCAAACCTATCTGTGCAACTTCTCTTCATTTACTTTCCAACACACGGACCAATTCGTAGATATTCGCCTTCGTTGCGCTTCGATTACATCCATCTTTCCGTCAACAGTCCTACCAAGACAACACAAATTTCGCAAAGGAAAAACGTTTGCATAGGTTTCATGTTTCGCGGATGCCCACGTCGCAGGTAAAACGCAGCTGAACATGACATGAATCCTCTACTCTCACATTTCCGATCAAACAACATCCATACCCAACCATTCGTTCAGCGTGAAAATCATTTGCGCAGAAAATACGCGAGTATTGTTCCTATTGCTTCTCTCTAGAAACTTGGCACCAGCTGCAGTAAATTCCATCCGAATGAACAACGTGCCCCCCTTCTCTGGGAGATCCGCCCCCCTGAGTTAAGAAGGGGTTGGAGATCTGAACCACAGACCAAACGAACAACATTCAATATTCGTCCAGTCGAAGTCCAAGAAAAACAATCCTCCTCCAAATCAATCCCGACGAAACACCAAAGCCATATCAAATCCAATACCGAAACAACGTTGGCAAACCCGAATGCTAGAAACCAATCCAATAGCAAGGCCAAAATCCAATCCAATGCACCAAAACAATACATTCGAAAATCCCCTAACAATACCAAAACAATACAATAACACTCGAAACCCCTACATTGGCCGGCGCATCAACTTCAAGCGCTTAACCCATTGCCCAAGCCGTTGTTTCTCACCCCCCCAGCGGATATGTCGCACGCCTTCGCCGCGGTCGCCTTCCGCCTTCGATCTTTTCCGGATGGCCGCGACTCGAGCTTGGATGTTTGCGTCCGCCTGCATTGGGGAAAGAGAAATTGTCGCTCCCGGAGGATTGACTCGGCGGTGGTGTAGGGCAGGTCGCGCGTTTGGAGGGGAAGATAGCGGCAAATTAGTTCCGAACAAGCCAGCACTACTGAGGAGAATCACATACCACCAACATTCCCCCCGGTTCCGCACAGTAGTCTAGTAACTGCAGCAGAAAAAGCAACAAATGAAACACACTTTCAAATCGTCGNAGCGGCAAATTAGTTCCGAACAAGCCAGCACTACTGAGGAGAATCACATACTACCAACGTTCCCCCCGGTTCTGCACAGAAGCCTAGTAACTGCAGCAGAAAAAGCAACAAATGAAACACACTTTCAAATCGTCGCACCCTACTTGTGGAATGGTTTGTCTGAAATTACCGATCACTGCGACATCGCCACTCAACAAATAAATAGTTGAATATCATCCTGAAACGGAGGTGGATCAGTCCTCGATCACAAAATTAAAATACAGCCGCTGCTCCTGTTTCAACCACAGGGTAATCAATCCTAAATCAAATCTTTCACAACTTGGAACCGCAATCTAACAACAAATAGCAACCTTGAGACAACGTGTAACAATATTCGGAAATCAGCATTTATTTCGTCAATATGGTGGATGTTTAATCTGCAACAAGGTGGAGGTACCATCGATGTTGCACGTCGCTGAGACTGGACACGTCTCCGGCACTCGCTGACACAACCAAGACACGAAAAGTTATTGATCAGGTTAAACCTGCTACCCAAGAGAGTCCAGATTAAACGTTGATCACGCATTTTTGATCAGGCTAAACCTGCTGTTCAAGAAGTAGCCACCAAAAAGAGCCCAGATACAATGTTAATCACGCTGTTGCCGGGGAGATAAAGTTGGTCTCAGCACGGCTGTCAGGAAGACAAAACACAAAACCTCGCCAATCCCTGCATTACATTACGCACAATACTATTTCTAATGCCATGCTACACGCACACAAAATATCATCAGTTTTTGAGGATTACTGGTAACCTAGGTTGGGTCTCTACCCATTTGCAACAGGTAGTCGGCCTTTGACCGAGCGGTGGAGTTTGACAGCAGTACCGCACGACGTATTGTCGCGTCTTGATTGAGGAAGCGTTGGCGTTTGACGGTAATACCGCGCAACGTGTTGCCGCGATTATACCAGAGCAAGAGTAGGAGAGAGAGTTTGACGGCAGTGCCGGGTGGGAGTGGAGTTGGAGTAAGCCTTGGCGTTTGACGGCAGGACCGCACGGCGTAATGCCGCGTTTAGAATCTGNAAACAGTAACACACGAAACTCCTACATCTGCGCGCTCGCGCTTAACCCATTGCCCAAGCCATTGTTTCGCCCCCCCCCCGGTGTTTGCCATCGGGGCTGGGTTTTCGTCGCTTGGCAACGACGTTGTAAAACNCGCTTGGTGATGTGAGAGCCTGGTCCGGTGAGAACCCGGCGTGCTCCGTCCCGGCTTTGTAGGGATGCGAGGTCAATGGTCTAACGACTACGGCATGCACGACTATGAGTACCCCCTCCCCCCCCAGCGGACATTTCGCACACCTTCGCCGCGGTCGCCTTCCGCCTTCGATCTTTTCCGGATGGCCGCGACTCGAGCTTGGATGTTTGCGTCCGCCTGCATTGGGGAAAGAGAAATTGTCGCTCCCGGAGGATTGACTCGGCGGTGGTGTAGGGCAGGTCGCGCGTTTGGAGGGGAAGATAGCGGCAAATTAGTTCCGAACAAGCCAGCACTACTGAGGAGAATCACATACCACCAACATTCCCCCCGGTTCCGCACAGTAGTCTAGTAACTGCAGCAGAAAAAGCAACAAATGAAACACACTTTCAAATCGTCGCACCCTACTTGTGGAATGGTTTGTCTGAAATTACCGATCACTGCGACATCGCCACTCAACAAATAAATAGTTGAATATCATCCTGAAACGGAGGTGGATCAGTCCTCGATCACAAAATTAAAATACAGCCGCTGCTCCTGTTTCAACCACAGGGTAATCAATCCTAAATCAAATCTTTCACAACTTGGAACCGCAATCTAACAACAAATAGCAACCTTGAGACAACGTGTAACAATATTCGGAAATCAGCATTTATTTCGTCAATATGGTGGATGTTTAATCTGCAACAAGGTGGAGGTACCATCGATGTTGCACGTCGCTGAGACTGGACACGTCTCCGGCACTCGCTGACACAACCAAGACACGAAAAGTTATTGATCAGGTTAAACCTGCTACCCAAGAGAGTCCAGATTAAACGTTGATCACGCATTTTTGATCAGGCTAAACCTGCTGTTCAAGAAGTAGCCACCAAAAAGAGCCCAGATACAATGTTAATCACGCTGTTGCCGGGGAGATAAAGTTGGTCTCAGCACGGCTGTCAGGAAGACAAAACACAAAACCTCGCCAATCCCTGCATTACATTACGCACAATACTATTTCTAATGCCATGCTACACGCACACAAAATATCATCAGTTTTTGAGGATTACTGGTAACCTAGGTTGGGTCTCTACCCATTTGCAACAGGTAGTCGGCCTTTGACCGAGCGGTGGAGTTTGACAGCAGTACCGCACGACGTATTGTCGCGTCTTGATTGAGGAAGCGTTGGCGTTTGACGGTAATACCGCGCAACGTGTTGCCGCGATTATACCAGAGCAAGAGTAGGAGAGAGAGTTTGACGGCAGTGCCGGGTGGGAGTGGAGTTGGAGTAAGCCTTGGCGTTTGACGGCAGGACCGCACGGCGTAATGCCGCGTTTAGAATCTGACGGCACCATGTATAGGTGTCCCGCATCACCGCATGGGTGTACACATAACGACAGCAGTCCAAAACTGACAAGTCATCACGTGCCTGTTCATGCCTACAACCACAGTAGACGGCGGGGCTCAGCTGACGATGGTGCCGCTGTTGGTCTTGGGGGTGCTGCTGCCGTGCAGGCCCTCGCCGTTGGTGGCCTCTTCGTCTGGTTGGGTGTTGTCAGCCGCGCATGCGGCTGCTCATCGGTGCTACCAATCTCTGGTTGGCTCTTACCCGGTCACCCTCGACAAAGTCGTTCAACGCTAGCGTGTTAGGTAAACCGGGTAGGTCGAAGCTTGTAGGTTTGTGGAGAAGGCCATTGAGGGCCGAGGTGAGAAAGTCTTGTGATAGAGGGGAGAGGGGACAGCAGAGAACACTCGTGTCCGAGGACCGAAGAGAAAGTCACAACACCCATCCGTCACGCAATTCACATCACTCATCGAATCTCCGAAGAAACCAAGTAGAAACTCCCTGTTCCTCCGCAATCTACCAACTGCAATCTCCGTAGATCCATGTCCCATATTCAACCATCTTTACTATGCTACGAGTACATCGAACAGCCCCTNGTCCTCTGATCGACACTCGTCCACCGATGCGCTCACGTTTGCTAGGTCCCGCTTGACGTTAGTTTCGATCGGAGAAAGAGCAGTTTTTCAAGAGCTTCACGCAAGGGTTGCAAGCTACCCACCGGGGCATCGAGACCCTGATGAGCGCCCCGCTGAAAGAGGCAGAGATGGCTCTCAAAAATTTTACAGCCAGCAGAGGCCAGGTGCGGTTCCTGGACGAGGCGCGCAGCAGAGCCATTATAATACCCAAGTGGGCATCGACAGAACGTCTTGGAGGCTCATTTGACCGCAATGTTTTTTAGTTCCGCACAAAGTTCCAGCATGAACAGCCGCATCTGCACACACCAGAATTTGGAGAGCACATGCACTGAAAACCATCCACCTCCCCAATCACACATCAGTGGTCACATCGGCGCGGGGAAACCCGCTGTTCGAGGAAGCCATGTATGGAACGATAGAACCTGCGACTTGGGTGGAAGGAGATCGTCACCCCCCCTCGTTCGCATGCCCTGGCGCCACCGCGTTACCAGAGTTCGTGAGGAAACAGTTTAGACACGGACCGTTCCCTCGGCGGTAAGTGACCAACACGCAGCAAATATTCCTCACCATATTTTGCCGGGCATCTTCCTTCTCCGCGAGGACATGAGCTACCTCTCTCAAACGTTATGCGTAGCTCATAAACGCAAACTCGTGGGCGCGCATGGACAACGTGCCCAGTGGTGGCGTGGTCGTCTCAGCCTGCTGGTGTTGTTTGATCTTTTGAGTAAAAGGCGTTTTCCTCTCGTTGCGGTACAGCAGTAGTGGGCCCTGTGTTGTGCCGGTTGAATAGTGCCACAGTCCGGTGCAGTGCCGTTCAACTCAGGACACGAGTGAGTGTCCACTCCCGAACTAAAACCTATCCACATATCCCTGAATAGTGGCGGTGGCTCTGGTCCCGAGTTTCCCAGGATCAAAGTGAAAGGGGACAACACCTTCCAACCTTCTGGCCTTGCTCAAGCTGCAGGTGTACAATCGCCAGGGTCGTTCGTTCAACGAGGGATGTGGTCGCCCATCCATACCACCAAGCAGTTGTCCGGGAGCAGCTGTTGGACGTCCGCCTTGGTTCCGCTGAAGTTGTTCCCGTAGAACCAACCCTCAGTGCCTTCAGTTGTCGAGGCTCCTGTGGAATGGAGCCGGTAAGATTGTTGCTGTGGAGACTTAGCCACGTTAGCGCCGTCAGCTTGCCCAGCTCGCGCGGAATGGCGCCGCTCAGTTGAGTACTGCTCAGCCCCAGCCCCTGCAGAGCCGTCAGTCCTCCCAGAGCAGACGGACGGAATCGGTCCGCTCAGTTGATTATTGCTCAGTATCAGCTTCTGCAGAGCCGTCAGTCCTCCCAGAGCAGACGGAATCGGTCCGCTCAGTCCGTTTTGGTACAGCCACAGCTCCTGCAGAGCCGTCAGTCCTCCCAGAGAAAACGGAATCGATCCGTTCAGTTCGTTTGGGTCCAGCCTCAGCTTCTCCAGACCCGTTAGCCCTCCTAGAGCAGACGGAATCAGTCCGGTTAGGTTGTTCCCGCCGAGATTCAATTTCGTGAGCGCCGTCAGTCTGGCCAACTCCGGTGGAAAAGCACCGGACAGCCCGTTCTTGTACGTGTTCAGTTGTGACACCCGACCGTCATCATCCACGGTAACGCCGTACCACTCTCCAAGGGGGCAGACGTCACCCCACGCCGTGCTTGTTTTCCATGACGGGCCGTTCGCCGCGGTGAACAAGGCTAACAGAGCAGCGCAGTCGGTCGTAGCGTCTCGCGGTGGCTCGAGTTCCTTCCCCGATCCAAGAAGAATCCTGATCACGTAGGCCTTGCAGCGGTCCACATCCACATCGTTTTCTCGCGCCAGTAGGCACAGATCGAGCATAGTCTGGCTCTCAAGCATTGACGCTCGCAGCCTTTGGCACACTCTGTGCGACCGGGGGAAGCGTCAATGCTTGAGAGCCAGACTATGCTCGATCTATACCTACTGGCGCGAGAAAACGATGTGGATGTGGACCGCTGCAAGGCCTACGTGATCAGGATTCTTCTTGGATCGGGGAAGGAACTCGAGCCACCGCGAGACGCTACGACCGACTGCGCTGCTCTGTTAGCCTTGTTCACCGCGGCGAACGGCCCGTCATGGAAAACAAGCACGGCGTGGGGTGACGTCTGCCCCCTTGGAGAGTGGTACGGCGTTACCGTGGATGATGACGGTCGGGTGTCACAACTGAACACGTACAAGAACGGGCTGTCCGGTGCTTTTCCACCGGAGTTGGCCAGACTGACGGCGCTCACGAAATTGAATCTCGGCGGGAACAACCTAACCGGACTGATTCCGTCTGCTCTAGGAAGGCTAACGGGTCTGGAGAAGCTGAGGCTGGACCCAAACGAACTGAACGGATCGATTCCGTTTTCTCTGGGAGGACTGACGGCTCTGCAGGAGCTGTGGCTGTACCAAAACGGACTGAGCGGACCGATTCCGTCTGCTCTGGGAGGACTGACGGCTCTGCAGAAGCTGATACTGAGCAATAATCAACTGAGCGGACCGATTCCGTCCGTCTGCTCTGGGAGGACTGACGGCTCTGCAGGGGCTGGGGCTGAGCAGTACTCAACTGAGCGGCGCCATTCCGCGCGAGCTGGGCAAGCTGACGGCGCTAACGTGGCTAAGTCTCCACAGCAACAATCTTACCGGCTCCATTCCACAGGAGCTTCGACAACTGAAGGCACTGAGGGTTGGTTCTACGGGAACAACTTCAGCGGAACCAAGGCGGACGTCCAACAGCTGCTCCCGGACAACTGCTTGGTGGAACAGGCTAGTTTCAAGTGCTTGCGTATTTCCCCCGACGTGTCATGTGGGTAGGAGTGATGACCAGGCTTGAAGTGGAGGTGGTTTCATTTGTACGTTCCCACCTCTTGGTACGATCAACATTGTCCTTTTTGCGGTACTCCTTCCACTCTACAGTGCCAGCAGCTTGAGGCAAATGCAGTGTTTCATTTTCAGCATACACGTTTAGCTTGGTCAGGTTTAGCTTCTTGAGTATCCGCCCTGCCCTGATTTTCCTGTCGTTGATTGAGCGGAAGCCTGCGAGGAAAGGCTTCTCATTCCGTCAGCTGCCATCATCTGTCTTTTGCGTCATGACGACGGGAGGGTTCCATTGAACGTGATTTTTCTCTTGGTTATCTCCTTCCAGTAGACGCAGTCGCGAGTCTTTGCTCGGTTTGTTCCTGGAAGATCGGGAGAGTATTTGCTTGGTTTATGGCATAAAAGTACATGCTGTCGGCCGCGTCCATGGTGCCTTCGTTCCCCGTCCTGTGTCTTGCGGTCAGGTAGCGTCGCTGAATGCCGTCGTGTTGCTGACTCACTCACAAGAATGGTGCTGTTTCCTTGTTTCGGGGGGCGGGTTCCAGCGCACCTGCGATCAGTATCGTGGGGGCTTAACTAGTCTTTCCTCGTTCCAATATCCGTACCCACGGTAGGATAGGCCGGCGAATTTTCAGGGTTGGCTTATCGTACTCCCTGTGCCATCATGACGGGCAAGGTCACGAGCGACTTGTAACTTAAACGTGCTAGCATTCAAATCTGCAAAATACTTCTGTGACACAGTAAAAGCGTACACTGTCGATGCCCCGTATCCTCTGTTTGCAAACATTATATTTCGCGGTGCGAACGAACAACGCCGGGGGTAATAGACTCTTTCGGGCTCGACAATGTTCCGAAATAAGGAAATACTTAAAAAAAAAAGTCAGCGCTGACTAGACTAGTAGTTTGACATTTGACGATATAGGATTCATGCACGGGTTCGACACCCGATTGGTCAATTTCTCAGGCACTAGTGAGTTCTTTTCAGGCAGCGTCTGACGAGGGATCCGTCCCCAGAAATATCCACTCGCTCACCAACCCATACTAGAGTTGGAGATGGAATAGTTTTTTGTGGTGGTTGCACAAAAGTACCTGCAGTAGGCTCGTGCGTCTGTTCATTGGCTGGCTCGTGTG